GGGCTGAGGGCTCTCACCGTGTCCCTGACAAAGCTTCTCGTCGGCCCAAGCAGCGCAAACATTAACAATTGCCACGGCTCCTGCGCGTTCCCTCTGACCAACGGCAACAACCACGCCATCCTGCTCAACTCCCACATCGAGAGCGGCAACGCGGATGAGCGTTCGCCCTGCTGCGTGCCCGTGGCCTACGAAGCCCTGGAGGTGGTGGACTGGAACGCAGATGGGACCTTCATCTCAATCAAGCCAGATGCGGTTGCGAGAGAGTGTGGATGCCGCTAGAGCTGTTCTCTACTGCTACTTTACCCCAGCATTTATAACTTTCACACAACTGATTAGTTATGTGCATGTTTCAGTTATGAAATATCAATTACAATACACCACATGTACTTTTAATGAAATATAACTACTTTTATGCTTTATTAAAGATCACAAGTCTTAAAATTACAAAGTTAATGTGAATGCTATTCATGTTAAGATATTTGATAATTAGTGATGCTAAAATGAATCAGATTTTGTCATTTTGAAAATATTTTTAATTGGAATAATGTTTCTGAGTGTTAAAGTTAAACTGTTAAAAGGTTGAAATATAGCCTTCTCAAACTTGTGATAATTAAATGCAAAGTGTGTTTAAAGTTCTGTATTCGTAGCCATACAGCTACATAAGCTACAGTATATGTTTTATGCTTTGATTTTGGGTTTCAGGATTGCTTTATTAGCAACTGGCTTCTTCCTTCTTCTAATCGCTCCGACTTCTTCAGATCCCCACCACTGGGTGAAGCTGTCCCATATGGAAATCTGGAGGCAAACAATGGGAGACAAGACACGTGTGATTCCATATCAACCAGCCCTAAACACTGTGGAAATCCTATACTGTTGCATAATAAAAATTCTCATTTATAATAATATTTGAGCACGTGATATTTAAAGAGATGATCCAAAGTCCAGTTTATTTTTGGTCCTCTGAGCTGTAGAGCTGTTTGTCCAGCTTGAGAAACCGGCTGTAGACATTTCTGCTGTCTTTGGAACATTTATGAAAATTATTAAGCACACATCTTGCAGTACCAAAAATACAATAATGACTCTGTTACTCTCAAAAATAGCTGCGAAAGGTTCGGCATCCATCACCCAAAGAAGTATACACTAACCTGTGATAGGCAAGGTTATTACTGTTAACTAAAACTAACTTGTTTGCAGCCCCTGATCTCTTTGCAGTGGCAGTGCAAGAATGTTCACCTGTTGCTAATTGACCACACCTAATCCGGTGTGGACAAAGACATACTTGAGGCAAGTTTTCATGGAGGTGCACTAGTCTTTCTCTTAGTGGTACCGGCTATTTTAGCTAACTTATCATATAATTTAAAATAAAAAAATAAAATCTTCTCTGTGAAATTCTGGTGTTGGTCTCCATATTTATGTTACAGCTTTTGAGCTGGCTCGTAACATAACTAAAATTAAAATATAGAGGAAATATTGTGGAGTTTTAGCATCTGTTAATCTTGTTCAACCTGTAAGTTTATGAGGTTTTGACAAACGGGTTTGAGACTTTGGATCTTTACCAGACAAAAACTTTTAGTTTGATTGAAATAGATGCTCTGCTTTTTCTAAATCTTACCTCTGACATACAATAGAAGATAAAAACTAACACTGCACCGAATAAAAACTAAACTAAACATTTTCGAGCAGTAAAAACAAAAAGTCAAAATAAAATAAAAACTTATTAGAGAATACAAAAAACTATAAGAACTCTGGTGACAGGATGTAATCGTGGCGCCCCC